TATTTTAAAATAACAAAGCAATCAATTTTTTTTATGAGACATTATGTAAATATAAACGAAAATTCTCGTTCATTTCTTTTTTACGTTTGCATTTGTAATTTCCAAAAGATGTTTTGATCAAAACATAAAAATAAATGTTTTTTTTTAAAACAACATAAAAATAAAGGGGCAATTACAAAAATGCCATTTTTTGTGTATATATTTGCAAGAATGCCACTTAGGGATGTCCATTTACAAAAATGCCACTAATTATAGATTTATAAAGCATATATCTTAAAATTCTAAACCCTAAAAAATGTTTTGACACCTAAAACCCCCTAAACACTCAAAACTAAACCCTAATAGAACATAATTAACCCAAACATAAATAATATAAAGAAAAAATAATTTTGAAAAAGTGATATTTTTGTAAAGATTTCAAAAGTGTGGCATTTTTGCAAAGTAGCACTTGAAAAGTGGCATTTTTTGAAATTTCTCAAAAATAAATGTTATATTTGTTTTGTAAAAAATAAATATATTAAACAATAAGACCAAAGATTAGTTTCACGTGAAATCTAGATATGTTTAAGGTAAGCTAAATGTGGTTTCGGAAAGAAAAAATCAATATAGCATCTCTTTGCATCTTGGTACTTGTTAAATTTGTTACTATATAATCGTTTTGCCTAGTAAATAATCATATATATTTAGAAGGGATTGTACCAACTACTTTTTTAAATGTTTGTGATATTATTATTTTTGCAGTCTCATCAAGATCTATCATCCGAAGATAGAACAAGACTATGTCGATGTCTAAACTACAAGAAACTCACATTGGAGACATGTAAACAACTTGCAAAAAATCCCAAAATCCCTCCAAATATTGCAGTTCAAGCACTCAAGTCACAACAATTACCAAACGAAACTCTTCCACCAAACAAGAGCAGAAATTCACGTAAGTATTTAAAAGAGAAACCAATAATGGTGCGTTTGAAAGGATTTGAGATTTCGGAGAAATTAGTTGACGGGCTTGAAGATGATCTAAGGATGAATATGGAGAGGAAGTATTGGAATAAAGTGATGGATGGTTCTGAAAAAGTTTGTAAGGAAAAGAAGAGTGAAGTAGTGACAAGAATGGGGAGACTTGGACATAAACATTCAAGTTCTAATTTTCCAAGGCTTTGTTAATTAGCTAATTCATTCTCCATTAATTGTAATCTCTATATAATTAAGTTATATAGATTGGGATCATCATATAAGCTTCTTTAATGCAAAAGAGATTGTAGTATTGAGAATGCATATAATTTATGTCCTTTTGAATGGAAATAAAATAAGGGTTAATTAGGTGTATATTAGTCTTTATAGCTTAAATTAGTTGAGTGACATTTGTGTGAAATCAAATTAGGTGAGTAGCATTAATTTAGTACATTCTGACGAAAATGTCCTTAATAACATGATTAATGACAGTTTGGTAAAATTTTTTTAAAAATTTGTTACTGAAGCAAAAGTAGTTCACTATTTATGTATTAATAGTTCATTATGTTAAAGCTATATATGTTGATTAAAATAGTTCACTATTTATGTATAATAGTCAGGTATCAGCTCATTTATGTCGACTATTTATATACGAATAGTTAGCTATTAGATAGTCAAGTATCTGCTCATCTATATCGACTATTATGTACGAATAGTCAGCTATCAGCTAATTTATGTGTGAATAGTCAGCTCATGTTCTTGTCGTATCAAATACTATGTAAACAACTATACGAATTAATTTACTATAATAGTTCACTATACTTATACAAATTAACATTTATTTTATTATAATAGTTCATTAATTACTTATTGTTGAATACAAAATTATTTGTGATTTTGTAATATCTCGAGACCAGCAGTCACGTTCTCAATAGCAACATCGAGTTGGTTCTTGGTGATATGTTTGTGGAGAAAGATGAAGACGCGTAGAGAAATAGTTTAGTTTGAGGATGC